AAAACAAAAGTACTTTTTTCTATTTTATTTTCTTTTTTTATTTTTGTTAAGAGGCCTCTCTTTCCTCTTGAATACGTATATGATTCAGAATAATAAAACACGGTCTTGTTTAAAATATTTACATTATAAATATTTAAAATAAAATAAAGATTTCTTTACTAGTTTATTTATTTTGATATAAACAGCATTAGAGAATAGAGATAATTTTCCTGGAATTGTAAAAATGTCTTCAATCCTCTCTTAAATTTAACAAATGCAGTAGGCATCTTCCTTCTGGGATTAGTCTACATTTTAAATCCGCTTTGATGTAAGACTAGTCGGTAAATTTATATAATCACAGATAAATCGTGCTCTTTTAAATTATTAATGTCCTTTATTATGAGAATCTATTATATTAAATACACGAATGTAATCAAGTGTATTAACTTCATTATAAAATTCATTAATCTAACAACAGAATTTATAAAATTAAACGCGTAAAAAATGAATTTTATCAATATCTTAAAATTGAATCAATTTTCACATTCAATTTTGATAAAATTTTTCAGATTTAATATAAGTTGTTTCAAGAGTAAAAATAGAATTACAGGCTTATTGATCGGCCTAAATATTTTCAATTTTTGTGATACTTATAATTAATTTTAAATCCATAAATTCGGTTATGGTTAATGTGGCTCTTAAAAATTTTATTTTCTATTTATTCAATTTAATAATATTATTTAAGTCATTTTAGAGTGCTTTGAACTCTGTATTCTTGTTGTGTGCGCCGATCGCTATCTTGATTTCAGTTAGATTCCTCAAGCAAATCTCAAGCAGGGCAACATTTAGAATTTTGTCTTAATCTGTAGTATATAAAAAATAAAGGGTCTCGTATAAGTTTGTAAAAACAAGGTCCTAAACTGAATCTTTGTAAAGTGGAGCATTAAGCGGGATCTTTGTAGAGTGGAGCATTAAGCGGAATCTTTGAAGAATGAGGCCCTAAGCTGAATCTTTGTAGAGTGAGGCCCTAAGCGGAATCTTTTTAGAGTGAGGCCCTAAGCTGAATCTTTTTAGAGTGGAGCATTAAGCGGAATCTTTGTAGAATGAGACCCTAAGCTGAATCTTTGTAGAGTGAGGCCCTAAGCGGAATCTTTTTAGAGTGGAGCATTAAGCGGAATCTTTGTAGAATGAAGCCTCAAACTATAGATAGTTCAGTTTAAGTATAAATTTTCGATCTGAGAATAGAATTTTTTAAAATAAAAAAGCATTTTACAAAATTAAAATAATATTTTAATTAAAATTGACAAAATTAATATTTAATTAAAACTATAAAAGTGTGATTTTTAAGTAAACTTATTAATTATTGTTTTTGTTTTGTAAATATGGATTTGTTATGTAAGATGTTAAATAACTGTAGGCCTCGACTCACTTTAACTTCGAATATTTACATAAATAAATACTTAAAAGCCTTCAGAGAAATTTCAAATGCCAACATAAATTACGCGTAACGGATGGGATTTCGACATTAATTTTTCTAAATTTACTCGAAATTTTAATATAATTTTTAAAATACAAAATATTATTTAGGGGTGACTAGAGTGAAATTTAGATTATTACAATTACATTTTATTTATTTATTTATTTATTTGTTAATTCTGTTAACCGTATTGATTTATGTTCACATGTATTTTTGATATAAAATGTTCCTATAATTTATTACAGACAATTACTTATTTTGTATTATATTTAATATAAAAACAGTACAAAATTCCAGCTCTCAACTCATACACAAAACCTGCCATCTAGTGCGCAAATGTTTAACTAACAAAATCATATTTTTATAAAATTACTCTTATCGGAGTTGGAAGAAAATTTGATCTCGGAGAAAAAAAAATAAATCAAGAAAAAAAAACACTGATAGCTAAAATCGATATTTTGTTACCAAAACAGGAAATTTGACAACCTATACATATTCCACTTCATAAGTTTTCTTGATTTATCCAAAATATCAGAGAGAATTTTTTCCCGATAGTTTTTCACTTGTAAAATTTAAAAAGATGATAAAAATTCTCGATCGTAGCTAAAGAAAAAACATGAATAAACGATCCTATGTTACGCCCAATTATATAGGTAGTATGTGGCAACATATTACAGACGTGTTGATTACATATCTGGAATTCTTAACTATATTTAGATGGTAACGCACTCGTATTTTATTCTACGTTAGAGAAAAACCAAGTAAAGATCGATTTAGTATTTTTTTTATTTATATATATATACATTAAAATCCATTAATTTAATGAATTTAGACTTTGAATATCAACTAGTTTAATAAAATACCACCATCAATTATTCATCAGGATTTTTTTTCTATTTTTTTTCTCATTAATTATAAGACTCTAGAAACACCCATCTTGTTTTATAGGAAAATAATATGGGATTTGATTTATAAGCTGGTTAGAAAAGTAGTAATACATTTTATTTTTAATTAATGTAAGAAATTGACCTTTTTTCTATCTATTAATTGATAATTTATATGCATACAATTTAAACTGTATTTTAAGAAAGTTAAGTAAAAATTAACAATAAAATTCGATACTAATAATCCAGGTCTTTATAAAAATGGTTCTCTTTAAAATCGAGATATAAAATATTGACTCCAGGTTTTAGGAGTGTTTCCATTTACGTTATCGAATGTCTAGTTTGAAAAGTATCACTCACGAATTTATAGAGTATCAGATGTTTATTTTTACAGTTCTTAGTAATAATATATTTCTGACAAATGTAACAAATATCTATAATATTTATGCGCCTATTCTTATACTTTTAAGGATGAAATTGACCATTCTTACTCTTTTATTGCAGTTTTAAAGCGATAATCTTTTGATTTCTAGACAAACACCATTTACTAAAGTTACATCTTTCCTATATGTCGCTTAATATTTTTATTTCAATGATAAATAGCTTTAAATTTGAGTAATGCATTTGGACTTCCTTCTATTAGAAATGTTAAAGTCGAGTCACTAAACGTGCAGTAACAGTTTAGTTATTTTAATAACAATCTTGTGGACAGCTCTCGAAACGTGTAAACTCACCTTCCAAGCTAACCCTCCGATACCCTATGTCTCCTTGACCTTTACAATCTGCACCTCTTCTATTCTGTTGCTATAGTAACAGGGTAGGAAAGGTTTCTAGATCGCTTGCGGTTGGAAAGAGTTCAGAAGACAATGACTTGAATAAAATCTCCTGTATAACTTTGCTAAGCAATTCTAAAAATTAAATTATTAATCTACAGAGAAGCAGTTGGTACTTACAGTCTGTGATTGCGAAGAAAACAAAGGAAAAACTGGATGCATTGCCACTATCCTTTACACTTAAAGTGCTATCAATCAAAGATTCCTCGTTATCCTTCGTCGTGTCGTTCATTAAGAAAATTGCATTAAAGTCGAGCTACGTTATCTTCTTATCAGAATTGGTATCCAATAGTTTTAATCACTTCTTATACCAATTTTAATCTTGTTTACGGAAATTCGATTTGACATATCACTTTTTTCCGACGTAAAATGATTACCGAATAAAGTTTATGTATAGGTTACTTACATCATCTTTCGCTAATTTCGTTTCAACAATTGGTTTAAATCATTAAATAAATTTGCTTTGTGATTTAACTCTGAGGCTGTAATTTATCATTTAGTAGATTTTCGTATATCTGAAATATACGAGAAATGCATCTAAAAAAGATAGATTCTAGAAAAAAAAAAAGCAACGTTAAGTATACGCAAGAAATTTGTATTTAAAAATGTAAACTTATTAATTTTTATGGATAATATCTATAAAAATTAATGTTTCAGAAACTCCAAAACCATTATTTTAAATAATAATGATAATAAATCTGTCTCTGAATTTAATGCAAAACATTATGTGTGGACCCCAGGCACTCGCAGTTATGGAATGTCCTGTGTAGTAACTAACGCCTGTGTAAATAAAAACTAAATGCTATTAATTAAAAATACAGTAAACCCTCGATTTAACAAATCTAGATTCAACTGACAAAAATATTTTTCTGATAGGAAAAGTTTAAAATTTTTATTCGCAGCATGCTAAAAGGTTATATTAAAGAATAAACTAGTATAAATTACTCAGTGTACTGTACTGTTATATAGTTTTATTCAGTTTAATTTTGATACATCTCGCATATTTTCATTTTCAATTCATTAATATATGATTTTAAAACATATTCGGTAATAATGAACACTCCTTTATCTCAAATAGTCCGTTAAATCGAGGGTTTACTTGTTTACATATATAATTATATAAGAAATATAACCAGTTGTATTTCGTTTCCTGAATCGTTTCTCACATTTCTTTTGGTTTATACTAATTTATCATATTCTTTTCGTGGAAACCCCTGAGCGTGTGCCCAGAATGCCAACCCATAAATCCTACTCTGATTAAATTGTAATTAAAAATTATCCATAATTACACGCCTCTCATTATTCTAAAATTAAGTTTGCGGTCAAAAACGTATTATTTGACTACTAACTCTTAGATTGACAATTAAACATATTCCTGGCCTAATCACACTTCTGTGGTATGAAACTGTATACACAACGTAATAAGACTTTGCTGAAAGTACTCTGGTTTCATTATATTACACCGTTTTACTATTGTTTGTTTATTTTCTAGTTTTTCTTAACTTTATACAGTAGCCTATTTTTAATTTGTAGACTTTTGTAGTGAAGTTCTTCAATACAGCGATTATGAAACCATTACAGATTAAAATGTGTATTATATTTAAAAATATGAAAAGACCATTAAAAACAAAGAATTTATTTTTTATTATTTCAAACTTCTAGTCCAAATGGCGCGTATTTTTATATAAGTTTATTTATATAAATAGTTTGCATGGGACGGGATGCAATAAAGAAAAGCGTCCGTTAAGATACTTTCACGTGACTAGAAACGATGCCAATTTTCGTAGATGATGTTAGTAAAAACACACTTTTTGTAGTACTATCTACTTTTAATATACGCACTTCTGTGTGATTCTCATTCTTCGTTAATTCTTTCAACGCGATTTTTAATATATATATATATAAACGTACTCGAGTTGGATGGAGATGATTTTCTTCCTCTATCCTTCAATTACTTCTGATGAAAGTTAAAAATCGGTTCCTCCTTGATCTGAAAAAAATACACAGTTTATTCAAAAAAATAATAAACTATTGATAAATTAATCGAAAAATTACAAATCAATTAATAAAACTACTATTTTTTCTAAATAAATACTGTATTTTATATACAATTGTTTTTCTTTTTAATTGAATTGAATTTGTTTTCAACTGTGTTAAAATTATGAAAATATGGCTGAAAAGTGTTGTTTCCATCTCTTCTAAGAAACAATGTAAAAAACTCTAGATTAAAAATATTTATTTAAATAGAAGTTATTGTAATTAAAAGTTATTTTTTTCTAATTCGTGTCTACAGAAAACACGCTGAACAACTAAAATTTAAGTTAAATTTGAATATATAAAAAGATCTAAGAAGAAATATATTAATGAAAACAGTTATAAAAACTGAAAAAAAAAAAACTATTACTAAATACTTAAATACAGTAGGCTCTCGTTTTATCGCGCTTGTCAGGGAGACAAAGAAAAAGCGCGATATATCCGAATTCGCGATATAACGAGGGGATACTGTATTTTGAAATCGTCTACACGTCCATTCAGAACCGTTAAAATGCAATTAACTTTAACGGAACATAATCGTTTTCATATGTTTATTCGTCTTGTTTGAAAACTATCATTGTAACAACATTTTCACAAACACTGCAATGTGTTAAATCCTTAATGACGATCGTGACTTTTCCACATGTGGAAAAATTTCGAAGAAAAAGTCTCAAGTCATCCATCTGCTCCATTGTTCTTCTATCAATGGCGCGTTATCCTATGGGTAAAAAGGGCAATTACCCGGGGCTCCCATCAACAAAAACCCCCAAACCAATCTTTTATAAGAAAATATTTTCTAAAAAATTTTCCCGAAGAAAAATGTCTGAAGTCAACACTGTACACGGGGCTACCTAATTTAAAAACTAATATAAAAACAGAATTTGAATTTTAAAAAATTTCTTAACTAATATATGAAATTCTTATTTCAAGACAATCAAATGAACGATAATACTCTACTGAATAAATTTTGTAAATATAAACAGAACACAGAATATCCAATATGACCTTTCGGAAATCCTGCTCCATGAGAGGTACTGTACCAGCGTTGGATTTTTCCATAAGAGTACCTCGAATGGAAAATCCAATGGTACTGTCTACATTGCCAGTTTAAATTTTGTCTTTCAGACAGGCCTGTTCGACAATTGAATTAAATAGCATAAATAAGAGATAGGAACGAAAACTTGACACTAACAATCCATGAAATATCACCGAAATTTATATAATAAATGTAATTCAAATTTTTGTAGTTAAGTTATTGCTATCCTTAGATGGAATTGGCTTGTCTACAAAACAAATTCAAGATATTATTACGAAAATATTAAATCAAGTATATTTTTAAAATTTCTTTAATTAACTCTGCTAGTAAATTAGAAGAAAAATTTTAGTTTTATATTTTAAACAATTTGATATCACAAAGAAAAACACTTTTAAACTATAGTCAATCCTCCACTTGCAAACAATCGCACTTACAACGGCCAAAACTAATATTAAAATTATCTTCGAGCTTTAACAATTTGTCGCACTCGCTAATGGCACAATATTACAATCATTAAATTTAAGTGTAATACTATAACCGACAATAAACAAGCTTTATGTTACAATAACTTAAGTTTATTCACGTGTAACTATAACTCAAGTTTGTGTCATTAACATCCCAATACTGCAGAAAGCTCTTTCTGCAGAGTTGCTCCTACCGGGATTATAATAAAACTGAATATAGAATAAGATTAAATTGAATTACTAATAAATAAATACAAACAAGTCGACTTTTAACCACCAAAATTTGATAACATCAATCCCCTAATACACAAACTTCCCTGCAAAATTTCAGAAATTTTCGACAAAAAGTACAGGAGTTAATAAGCTTCAAAGTGAGAACAATTTAGAATATATTTACTTTTCAAAATACTTGAATAACTAACTAAAGATGTATAACAGTTTGATATAATTATCAATTTGGAAACAAGTTTCTAGCAGAAAAGTTTCGGTAGATTCTGCCTTTCTCTCATTGGTAGTCCCCTGTATTTGATGAGAATAATAGAAAAAGTTGCATTAAGATTACTAGCTCGATTGCAATATGAAAGCGATGATCGCTTCCTTCAGAATGGTCCAGATTGAAGGATCGCTCTTAGAACAGATCTTATTTCTTTTCGGATAAAAACTTTCTTTATGTACAGTACATATATATATTGTGAGATAATGAGAAACTAAAAACAGAAAACATCTAAGATATTTCTCGAGTAGACGTAGAAGATTTCGTGCTTCCAGAACAAGAGCCCTTCTTTACTCCCCGATATATGGCACACAAAGCCCTTAACACAATTGGCACAACTTTGGAGCTTTTATTCCTTAGTTGTTTATATCCCTTATTTAGTATGTATATAATATACACTGAATAAATACATAGATTTAGCAACTGAGATAACACGACTAAGGAATAAAAGCATCAAAGTTGTGTCAAATAGGGGCTTTGTGTGCCATATCCCCTGAACTGTTGGAATATCTAGAGGAACTTCACATAACGGACTTTTCGACTTATGATTTAAAAAAAAAAAAAATCTTTTGGAACTTCTTGCATAATATGAAAATATCTGAGGGATGCCTAAAAACGTTCATACTCCAAAAATTACTATTTACTTTCATTGACTACTCCAAAACATTTTCTGAAAAATATATATTTATAATATAACTTATATACATAAATTATATAGCACTAAACGTTTGCTATGAAATATTAATTAACAAGCATTTGTTATTACATAGTGAGCGTGATAAACATCTGGTTATCACGCAGGTTGGGTATGTCTAAGTGTTTTTAAATTAATTTATTGTTTGTGTTTATTTATTAAATTGCAAGACTAGAAAAAAAATCCTCTGAAATTATCGGTGTTCAATAATTTAATTCTTACCACAACTAGAAAATAATTTATGAAGTTCAAAAACAATTGCTTTTAAATTTATTTAAATTGGAAATAAAATTTAATTAGCATAAAATTTTCTTTTATTAATATATGTAAAATCCTATGTTTTTTCTCTCTCTTTAGTCTGCGGAGTTAATTTAATCTTTTCTATATTAATTAATATTTAATTATTTAAATATGAACGATATAAAAATTATTTCTTACGCAAATTTATATAAGATATTTTTAAATTAGAAAATTAAATTAAACTAAAAAGGCAATGGAAGCTTTAAAGATATTTAAATTATATTTAAACAACAACAAAATTCTTCTTTGTGTAGCATTTAGCTGGAAAAATTTCCATTGATTATTATGTAAAATATTTTAAAGTTTATTTAAATAATTAATTCTAAAAATTATTTTAAATTCTGATAATAATAAAATTGATAAATCATCGTGTCATTAATAAAATAATTAAATTTAAATAATAAAATATATTGTTTCATTTTAAATATTATAAGACTGAAAAAATAAATATAAAATATTGCAATTCAACGAAAACTTTTTCCTTCCCAGAAGCAAAATTTCTATTTCTCTGCTTATCTATAGAAAATAATAGTAATAAAAAAAATAATAAAAAAAACAATTTTAAAATTGACTTTGTTTATAAATAAAAATAACACAAATATAGATTTTCTTTCATTATTATAGAAGTTAGATAAACTTCATCTTTAAAAAAGCTATAAAAAAGAATAAACTAAAATTTAAAAAATCAAAAAATAAATTCATACATTCGTTATTTATATTTTATACATCTGATAAATTTAAAATGTTTTATTTGCTCTTTTTAAATCAATTTTAATATCACTAAGTTTATAAAGCAAGCACCAGCAATTTATTTCCATTACGGAATGTACACAACAATACATTTGAATTACTGAAATTTTTATGAATATAATAATCATAAGTTACTATTTTTTATGAGTTAAAATAAGTATAAACTATATATATATATAAACACAGCCTAGAATCTACAAATGGAATTGAAAACAGAAGCTTTTATTTTCGTGAAGTGACAAATATTTGTTTAAGAAAATTAATTCGAGTTACCACGAAGACAATATTTTTCGTGGAAATAAATTCACTTCGTAGAAATATATATTAAAAATCTTTTCGACATATAATTTAGGTTATACGTAAAAAATAATAATCGATAATTTCACGGAATAGATGCGTAAGACAACTGAATTATTACAACGGAAGAGATAAAAATATCACCATACATGCACGCAAACGAATCTCACTCTTCAGAGAAGAAAAGAATGATTGGTCTGTTCATCAGAACATAATCGTTATCAATTTTATGTACTGTAGGATGTAGCAAGAAACAGTCTAGATACATTTTTTTTTCTTTACTCTTTCCGTCGTGTTGGCATTAGAAGATCTTTTTTTTTTCCATGCCCCATCATGGTTCCGGCCAGGCCACTTTATTGGAGGCCGGATGGTGAGGTCCCGATGTATTATAACAACCACTAAAAATTCCTGGAGAGTTTGGATCCGATTCCGAGTCCCGCAGAATAATAGGCCTTAATGGTGTCGTCAGCTTACCTACATCAAAAAATAATCTAGCACATAAGCAGAAAGGTGCAAGTGTGAAAGATCCTGTGCAAAAATTATTTATAGGGCCTAAAAAAAGTTTATTTTTTCATTAAGTTTGTTAACGAAAGGTCTGGGCCCAATTCTTCCTGCACACTAGCGCATATTACTGTAATTTTTCATTAGCTACACGGAATTCTTTACAAACTGTAGCTGATTTCTGTTTAAAATATTTAATAAATACAAAATGTTATATAAGTATCGGCGGCGGTATAGTCAAAGAAGACTAATTTACTTATTAACTACTTCNAGACCAAAATTTAAAAAACGTGAACATCACACAGATTAATATGTACCCCTAAGTCTCTGGAACGGAATACATGCACCAGTGAACCTACAACTACACGATTTATATTTTAAAAATAATTAAATTCACTTAGCATTCAAAACTTGCGAATTTTGAAAAAAACAAATTTGCTGATTAAATGCGAACAACTGTTTAACTGAAGTAAAACGGGTTTTCCCCTTGCTATGGATGTCTGCCTAGTTCAGTTCAGCCACATTCCGCTGCAGTTCGCCTTTATTATCAGTTCGAAATGGGGTGGTTCCATAATACCACCTTCTCCTCTATAGTTTAAATGTATTAATAATACAGTCAATTTTATTTTCGCGAGATTACAAATTGGTGAAGTTTTATTTGTCTTGTATCCTTATAAAACACAAGATAAACGGATGAACGCATTAGCATTACTAGAACAGATATTAAAAAGTTCGAACCAGGGATTCCCAATGGGGTCCCTGAGGATTAATGCAATTTTGAAAGGGATCGATGAACTCAAAGGGTCGATTGAGGATCGATGGAAAAAAATCAGATACTTGTATTTTTTTCCAAGAATTTCAGATAATTTTCAAATAATAATAATAATAATAATAATCACAATCGTATGGAAAATTCATTAACTGATTTAATAATTTATTTAATATATTACGCAAAACATTGGAAAGTAGCAAAAAAATTTAAGTTCGATTGAAAAGAATGTTTTCTATATGGGTTGGGAACCTTGGTTCAAACCTATATTCACTGTGAATATAGCCACTCTGGATGAAGTTTACTCTTCATCCAGAGTGGTAGTGGCATCCATCGTGGTATCATTATCTATGTTATAACCATATCCATATATATCCATAATGATATCCACATAACTTATATCCACTTAGAGGTCTACACTTACTTTTAAATAAATAAAGAAAGAAAAATCAAACACTAAGTTGGGTCTCGAGGCTGGAGATCCCAACTTATTTTGGCTGGATCTGCTACTGAATGGATGGCTTTTGTGAAAGCTTTTTCGCCCAAATACACTTTCCGTTGATGATGAATTTGTTTCGTAAAAAATTCATGTGTTTCTTTAAATAGAAGTTTTGATATGTTGAAGTATCGATTAAATTTATAAAGTAACAACTTTTTTTGTGAAAAATATAGTATAAGAATGAATCTATTCTTATACTTTTTAGAAGCTAATGTTCATTGATTATATAAAAAAAGGTCGTAGTGGGCCTATTTAAATACGATAGCATTTGTTAGTTTAAAACGTCAAAAGTTTTAAACTTCTAAACGTATAAAAGTACTATAGTATGACCTTATTAATTACAGCATTTCAGCTTATATTCGTTGATGTTTGCATTGAGCTTTTGAAAATAATCTACGGATAAATTGTAAAATATATAAAATAATAATACTGTATTACCTGATGCTTCGCCTGTCATAGCTTGCAACATTCGAAACGATTGCGAAGGGATTCGTCCTCCTTTATACATCTTTGGTTCTGCTTCGTAGGGTTGTTCACAGGCAGGTACATCGGGATGTGGATATACTCTAGTTGGGGGAGGACCACCAACATCGTGATGTGGATAAGCCCTAGTTTGGGAGGGAGCGGGATGACCACCGACTTGTAACTGTACACTTGTAGTTTTCCTAGGCTTCTGTTGAAAAACCGAAGGTGGAAGTGTCTGACCTCCTAAAAAATAAAAATAATCAGAGATCATTAAGGAAAATATAAAAATTCTTCGTGACAGAATTATATCCGACCTTCATCATCACTCATTCCTGTCATTTCCTGAAGCATCTTGAAAGATCTTCCAGGTATATAACTGCCTTTATATCTCGGATCGACTGGCTGTTGTGGTTCGTCTTGATTCGGATAGTCATACCCTTCGTTGCTATCTACAAATAGTATTTAAGTATACTTAAAAACTTCAACAAAAAATTTCGCTAATTAAATTGAAATTATCTTGTTACCATAAGATGGAGTCGGTGATGTGGTAGACGCATCCGAACCCGTCATTTTTTGTAAAGTATGGAAGGCTCTCGAAGGAATCGCATCTTTTCTAAGACCCGAAAATCTCATTTCGTCTTCTTCCTTCTTCTTCGGTTTTACTTGATCTAAAGATTTTAAAGACTGTAGTTAGAAAATTTTTTCGTTTTGCAATAGAAAAATTTTAAAATGAGCTAACTCAGTTGTCCTATTTCATTAATTATTAACCTTTATTTGCATCTTATTAGCCCCAGGATATTATGTAAACTGTGTCGTGATGACTCGTATTGAAGACTATTTTTAATTAAGAAAATTAAATTTGAAGTTCATCCACGTGTGTTTTTTATAACTGCTGATTAAAATTAACTGTAAAAGTCATTTGAAATAACCACGTTTGCGTAATAATTTTTATATTTATTAAGATAAAGAAGGGCTGCATAATCTCTCAAAAACTTAACATTTACATAAATTATAATTACTTACATTAAAAATATAATTTTATTAATTGACATATCAAGTATTTAACCATGTAATTGCATCTTGCCTGGAGCTTAATGAATTTCGAAACAGCACGAGAATTTTAGGAATATTTTAATATTAAAACACGTTCATGTGTAATATCTTTAGACAGAATGACAACGAAGAAATTACTTGACTGTTGTCAAGTCAAATCAGTGATAAAAGGAAGAACAACCAGCAAATAATTAAAAATGTCATTTTACTTAACAGAAATGATATCGAATTTTATTTAGAATGGCATATTCGGAACATTATATATTTATAGATGCTAAATTTTAACATTTTTTCCGTTTGATTTATACAAATAATTGTATAAAATTAAATAAATTATAAGCTTTTTTGATATGTTATAGTTCATAAACCAATTTAAAACAGTAAAAACTATCGATATTTTGTTAATATTCCATTTATTAATGTACATATTTTTGTATTTAATAAAACAATTTGACATCAGCTCATTATTTTACAATGGAAAATTTTAAGGAACGATGTAGAATTTACACTAGAAGTGTGCGCTGTATCAACAACCGCACATGTTTTTAATAAGTAAAATCATATATTATGTGCACCTGGTTTTAAAATAAAACATAGTTTATTAATTTTTACAATATATGTATTGTATATAGAGTAAGTATATGCTAACTTACTCTAAGTAGAATATAAGGAGGAACTATTTTATAATAGTAACATTTTTCTGTTTAAATTGCCAAATGAGAGGGGGGGGGTTAAACTTTCAAAAACTTCCCGTGTGCAGGGCCTTGTATAGTTATATCAATTATCAAGATTATGCTAGGCCAGATGGATACGATACAAAAATTTTTCTTCGACTTGGCACATTATAAATCTCTTCTTTGTATAAATTTCTGAAACAATAGTTTTTGACACGTGTACAATATTAATTTGATTTGGTTTCCTTTCAGGTCAGCTAAATAAATTTTAATTTCAAAAAATGATTTATGAGAAAAGTAAGACCTTATCAAAACTACTATCGAAAGAATTGCAATGTTAATTCTGTTACACGGTGTATATTAATAGGCATTAAGTGAAATAATTGAAACGTATGATACAATATTTAAAAAAATGGCCGTCATTAGGAGGTTATTTTCTATACATTTCAAATAGAAGCGATTCCGAAAAATATGGCCGTAGTCGTTATTGGAGATTCAAATGAGTACAAAATATTTTTGAAATTCTGTCTGAAAATTAATTATTTTTACCTTAATATAGAGAAAAGTACGTAGGAACATTTAAACAGTACAACGTTAACGCAATATTAAAGAAATTAGGTAGTAAAATATAGGTTATTGTGAAGCATATAACTCAACGTGGGCTATATAACTGGCCTCAATTTTTGTCTGTTACTGTATTGTAAAGAGTTTCCCAAACATGGATGAAAGATGGAAACGACACTGCAATAAATTATTGAAAAAACTACGAAAATACGGATTGAATTTGAACTCTGTTCTTACGAGGATGGTGGTAGAAATCCTCTTTAAACGGTTGGATAACGGTATAAAGATCGGATAATAAAAACATTATTTTGATTTATCGTATCAGAAATACACCGAAATAACTTGATAATTGTAAAAAAAAAAGCGTGTATTGTTTTGACAAGAACACAATTTACTATAAAAAATGACGCTTAACATTACATTGCTGCAGGGGCGTTGCTGTCATCGAGTAACATCCTTCGAATTTAATTTCGAGTGGACACGCTGTAGTCATTTCGTAAGGAGACGTTATCACTCTTAAGAGCACTTCTAAGCAAAAAAGGTGATAACAGTTGTCTGAACACACATTTTGTATACATTTTTATTAAATTCATTCAAATAACTTTGTATTTTACAACACACATCGACAATTTTTATTATTATAAAACTAATAATTGCAATAGGAAAATTATTTCAATAGAAATTATGAATTTTTTTTTCATAAATATTTCTTTGGGAAAGAATGAACTTAAAATTAAATAAATAAAATCATCGTTTTTCCTAAACACTTTCGTAAAAATTCGGTAAAAATATGGTGTTAAATGATGATTTCTGTCTGGTATTATTCGTGAGAAGCGTTAAATTACACAAGATAATTTTTTTTATTTATTTAAAGATTTGTTTAAGTTATTATTATAATGGAAGTAGGCCATTATAAAACACACACTCATTATGAAAACTTACAATAAATACAGTAAAACCTCCAATAACGGTGGCCATGTTTATAGGAACGTCGAATAAAAATGTATACAAAATAACCTCCAAACAGCGACCACTTTTAATATGTTCCTATGAGTGTCCGTCGTTTAGAGGTTCGACTGTACATATTTCTCTTCTTTAGAGAAAATTATATGTTAATTCTTTACACAATACAATTTATTCGAAGTATTTTTTTCTTTTTTAAATATAAATAAATGACACAAAAACGAGAAAATTATTTGAAATTCTTCATTTTTATATTAACTTAATAAACGGTCTGTAAGTTTGTCTAACGAATATTTTAAAATCTGAATGATGGAGTGGGTAGACGATAGAAAGAGCTATTTAGTTTCGCTGAAAAGGTTCACTGTTTTGTTAATTTACATTTAAAATCTTTACACGAATACTAAATTACAAGGCATTCCAGTATTACATTTTAAGTATCGATTTTTGTAATTATTAAAAACGTTAGAAAGTATCAAAAATAATGACGAAATCGCCATTTTGCTATTTTTACTCAATGTAAAAAAAAAGTTTACTTTTCGCCTAAATTCTGATTAAGTCTGGATAATGTTGTTGTTGTTGTTAAATGTCAATAGTGTTAAAGTTCAAAAATAAACATTCAACAGCTAAATTAAAAAGGTTTTTTTTTTTGTAATGGAAAGGAGTTGTTTTGTGTAATAAATTTCAATTAAAGATTTCTAAATCAAGATTAAGAGTCGTAAACATTACAGCTTATACTTTAAAAAAAATCAATAACTGTATATTTTTTAAATTAAAAATTTCAATTATTTTCGAATTAAACTGTTCAATTTTTTGGAATTTAATAAGACGTTTAAGACGTACGAATTTCGGAATTTTATCCTGGATATAATGGATAACGATGCTAAACTTAGCATTGTTTACAATTTAAATACTAATGGCGATGACGTAAAAGTTAAAGATTTCATAATCATGTATTTTAAAGAATTTCTTCGGCTTAAAATATCGCTTAAATGACGTTATCGCATTTTAAGAAAAGGAAATAAATAAATAAATAAAGGAATTTTACCTTGAACAGGGTTCTCTTCATCAGCTGTTATCATCTGTAATATCCGGAAAGACCTAGACTGCCCAAATTCTCTGGATGGATCCTGATCGACGTGATTTCGATAATCTGCAGCCGGTGTATTGTTACCAGACAAGTGAACACTATAAAAGGAAAAATTAGTATGACCTAGTAGTCCATTTCTTGGAGTTATAATCACGTGATCCGAATAACCTTGAACAATGAAATATGATCGTATAGATTATATAGGCTATATATTTTTAAAGATGTTTGATCACCAATAAATTTTATAAGACAAGCGGCGTAAATTAAAATCAGCATTAAAATTTAATAATAGCATAAACTGTCACAGATTATAAATCATTCTGGATAGTCCGTGTCATTGCTCTTACAGAGTAATTGTCTATAATAATTTCTCATATGAGCCGTAAATCTTGAAGATTTTTATGATAAATTTAATACAAGATTTATTTTGGTAGTGTTTTTTTTTATTTTTAATGGCGTTACGAAACGTATTTTCAATGTACAGTATATGTTACACGCACTTACCCTTCTAACTGTCTAGTTGCTTGATCCGTCTGTGTGTCGTAGGCATTCAGGGCATTTTGTTGAGAATAGAGATTTATTGGCGAATTATAAGCTGGTAGAACGTAGGCCTGATGTCGTTTGGAACTACCGTTATTATTCTGAGATTGCTGAGATAATACAGGTGGATGATGGTTGACAGCTGGAGGAGTAGAAGGCCGATCATCTTCTTGTAAATTCGCGGCTATTCTCTTCTGCATTCTTGGCGATCTGATTTGCGATAAGTCTAATCCTCCGGGGGTATAAGTAAAAGGCTTCTTATCTTTCTTTAATGTGTTCTGTAGTTGTGGTGGTAAGTAACAAAATGGCGCATTATTACCCTCTTGTGGAGTGCTAGCTGCATGCTGGGAAGGGTGGTAACCACTTGGCTGTTCTTTGGCCAATGCCTAAGAAAAAAAAAGGCACTTAACAATTTGTTTATATTTAAGTAATTTGTTATTTTATACGTCTAGCCAGTATGACTTACTTTTTGCTTTTCTTTCCATGTGGGCATATCACCACTTGGTGGAGGTGGTGGTGGTGGAGGAGGGGGAGGAGGAGGCGCCATAGTTGGGGGTGGGGGTGGAGGAGGCGCCATAGTTGGGGGTGGAGGTGGAGGGGGTGGCGGCAGCGTGGGCGTCTGTGGAGAAATGGCATCGTTTATCGAATTTTGACGATTATAAACCGGCGAAAGTTGGGAATTTCCTGTCACTGGCGATTGTATCGGCGAACTCCAGTTTGGTTGGTCTTCGATATAAATCGGGTGAATAACAGTCTTAGCTGGTGTCGTCACCGGTTTGAAGGGTGAAACCGGTGAGGTTGGCGAAACTGGAGAGTTCCGAACATTCGGTGTGAAAAATGGATTCGATTCTTGCCTCGATGGAGTTGCTGATAATGATGGTGTCCATATAGCAGGACTGGCATTCCCAGGAGGTTTTCTAAAATAAAATAATACGAAAACAATTCTGTAGTGAAGACTAATATACAGCTTATACTGGTTACATTACATACTTTCATAGTACATTTAAGGACTAATAAAAAAACATTTAAACAACCGTATTGTTTTAAATTTAATACAGTTGAATTTGTCGGAAAGATTTATCAGTAAAATGGTATCACACAAACTACAGTTTTGTTCAAAGTAACTTCTCTTGAGACATGTTTTCACTACTGCTTAATAAAAGTAAAGCACTAAGAACTTACATTATTTATAACTGTTTATTCAGACAGGTGAATCCAAATTTAAAAACACACCAAAAAGTACTAAGACAAACGCGTGTTATAAATCATTTTCCATCAGCAAAAACAGAAAAAAAAACTCTTCAATAATAATTTTTAACTTTAAGCTGGTACACATGATGTAATTACAACTTTAAATATTTAATGATGTGTACATAACACTACATCGAAAATTCGATTAGAAGTTAATATTGAAAGTCGTTTTAATATTTACATTATGAGATTATCATCATCCGTTTGTTATTAATAAAAACAAACAGATGAAAAGCGACAAATACTTGAGCATTTCTGTCTGTATACCTAACGATAAAACGAACTTATGTTATCGATCCCAAATCCAGGGTCATCCAACAGCTGTCCTGACATTCATCCAATGAATTCCACTGATAAAAAGTCTTCACGTATTTCGAATTACTTGATACGAAAAGAATCTCATATAAAATCATCGTAATTTAATTGCGAAATTCGGCATTTCATCGAAATTAAATAATTCTTTTCGTATATTTATCCAATAAAAGAGTCGAAAATCGCGTATTTTTACAGTTTTAACGAAGAAATTCCGTGTAAATATTTTGCTGGAGATTGCAGACGTGAGAAATAATCCAAATTTAGTCTAAGATCTTTATCTTTTAAGCATACCGTCGTTCGGAGAAGAGCGATAATCTATTAGTTCATTGATGCTAAAATTGGACAAAACAGACGAATGAATCACCTACCGAATGTTTAACAAAGAAAAAAAAACTTTTTTAAATGTCTGATGACGTCATTAAATTTTTAAATAGATTTTTCATCAAGTGTTATAAACGTGCAAAAAAAAACTAAGTATAACTTTCCTCCCTGAATATAAATAGCACGAGATACTTAACGCGTTATTACATTGTTACGGATGACATATTGTATACATATTTTCGGTTATTCCAATTAAAAATATACTAAATAAATTTTTAACAAGAAAATTATAAACGTAATTAAATTTTAAATTAATTTTAAAAAACAGTTTAATCTTAATTAAAAACAGAAACAACGTAACCAAACAAACAAATTTGGGGTTTCTGTGATTGGTTTAAAGTTGAAAAAATCGATCATTTTCAAATTTAAAAATAAATATTTTCGTCAATATTATTGCTAAATATTTGTCTTAAAAAATCAATAATAAGCAATAACTATTTGCTGAATTTATTATCTTTTATTCTCATTTATGTTGAAGTCACCGAGAGGAATATAAAAAAAAAAACATTTAAAACAGTATTTTATTTGCTACATTTAAATATTTTTAAACCAAATAATATAATAAAACAAGAATATATATATATATTTTAAAATTAAAATGTCTTAACATTTAAAACCCAACAGAATTTAAGATATTGTATTTTACATTAGATTACGGATTCTAATTCCGCTTGTATATTTCTTGAAGATAACCTTTGATAATTGACGGGGTCGGATTTGCGTATAAGATAAGCAAACTTCAGTTTAGGGCCGCGCATTTTTACGTGTAAATTTGATGGAGAAGGGCCTTTTGTGGGGCCTTAACAGGTCTTAAGTCTAGCCCTGATGTGACATTACTCGTAATTGCAAATAATAATAATAATTTAACGAAAAAAAAATTAATTATAATTAATTGTTTTAGGCTACCTATTATTTATTTAATATAATAAATAAAATTTTAACANTATATATATTATAATTAATTTTAAACTTAAAACTACTTTAAAATCTTTTAAAATATTTATAAAAAAATTGGAAAATTTCTTCTTCTAGAACAGACTAAAACAACGTCCTCCAACTAACGTCAAAGGTCAGATGAGCTTCCAACTGAAAACAGCCTTATGAAATTTCCTATTTTTAAATAATATGCTTACTACTCTAAAATATGGCTACACAAGCATAATTTTTAATTAAAAATATATATACATATTTGAAAATTTATCGAATAAAATTAAAACTTTAAAAGACGTCCATTATAATAACACAGGTAAGTAAGTTGAGGGTGGTGTTTTATCATTAAAAAAAATCAGCTGTATATTATTAAATTTCAGTATAAAGGTAAGCATATTTATAGAATGATAGCAGTAGATCTGAAAAGAAGTTTATCCTTTAACAGAATTATGTAGGACGAAAACTAAAATAGCTTACTGTTCTGATGGCTAATAATGTTACACTTTGAACAAAAATTTGAAGTTGGCCTACTTTCTTAATAGTTCGTGTGTATATATAAATATATATATATATATTTTGTGGGTCTAATATTATAAAATTTTGGTTATTTTGTAGGAGACATTTTTACGAATAAAATGATATTTAATTCTTACCCAATTTTTCTCCTCTAGAAGATTTTTTTTCTATCCAAATTAGGCATTTTTAACGACGAAAAACGATTTAATTTGCTAAACAATTTAAGAGAAGATAATAAACAGTTTTTCTCATAAACAGGGTCGACTAAAATAGAATTGGAATCATCTTTATTTTAGAATCTTCAGGCAGCATCTTGCAGTCAAAATTTCGATTTTTGCCAAAGAAAGATCATTAAATATATATATATATATTTATGTACTTTACAGTACATTATATTTATAGAATGAAAAATAAATTGAATATTTGAAATTTTTACTTTGACTAAACAGACTTTTTAGAAATTTTTTTTAAAAAAGGTGTAAAGCAATTTTAACAATGTTAAATATTCATGTGGGTTGATGACGTTTAAACTTTACACAAGTCGACGTCATCGAATTCGAAAAGGAAAGTTGTGTCGTCAGCATCGGAGTTATTTATAAAGTAGATAGTCTTCCTTTGTCAAATTTTATGTTAATTAAACTGTTAATAGCGTTTAATTTAAGGTATTCGCTTGAATTAAAAACGAAACTAATCACAATTACTTTCGCTACATTATCTGATAACAGATGGCGGCACGTTTAATAACACGATATCTATGACATTTTTTCGTTTACATCTTACATTTAAGAAAGAAGTTTTTTTTTTTGTTTTTTTTAAATTAATCCGAAACTTTTAAAAATTATTATAAAGATTTCTAACATAATTTTACTCGGTTTAAAACGTTTTAAAACGAATTTTTACCATTGACTATAGACTTACCGGACTTCGAAGTGTCTTTCCATGGAGATGGAGCAGTGAAAGTTTTCTGTCCTTTCACAGTTTGACTAAAAAGGGTTATTTTGGGAAATGCCGACTTCTCAATATCTTAGAGGGTTGGTCCGATGTGGTCGGTGGGAGTCAATATTACGCATGCGCTTACCAAATAGGTTGCTCCCGAGCGCAACTGGAGGCATTTTTGTCCTCTTTGGCTCCATCTCCTCACAGTCATCCCAAAATATCCCTTCTCTATATTTACTTCTTTCCGGTTCTACGTTCTCAATATGTTCTTCGTACGGCCGCCATTTTGATTTCTAAAATATCCATTGAAATTATACAGTTTTTATAACTGTATTTACGAAATTTTCGTTAATTCCGTAAACCGCCAGTGCTATTCTAAACGTAAACACTTTCTACTAGAAGAGGGTGACTAACTTTTATATTTGGGTTATGACTTTTTTTTTTTTTTTTTGAAGTTCTAACTTTTAAAGTTCTTTGGCTTTGATACAAGACGTTATGCAATTCGTTCTAATTATGTAAATTATTAATTTCATTTTATACATTTTAAAAAAAATTATTTACATCTTAAACAAAATGGAGGAAGGGAGGAAAATGATCGTGTCCTTCAACCTGTCCGCCCGAAACGTGAATAATCTAGGCGTGTATCTACTTTCTTATCAAGTTAAAACCAAACAATAAAATTAAATTATTTATTTTTAAATAAAAGAAATTGCTTGAATAAATATAAACGTTATTTTATTTTTAATTGAAATTTTAATGCGGTTTTTTTTTTATTTAATTATTTATACATATTCAATAGAATGAAGGTCGTTAATCTTTTTAAAATAAAAAACAGTAATGAACTTACTTTTTCACAACCAGATCTAAAGAGTTTCCTTGAGATAAAATAAGTTTTTCTGCTTCTTCTGGACTCATGTCAACAGCTTTTTTACCAGCTATTTGTAACACTATGTCACCTGCTTCTAAATAATGGCTAGCGATTGTACCTGGAGTAATCTGTAAAATATACACAAATATATTTTACATTTTTTCACGTTATAAATATATATTTTTCTCTCTAACATTTTCTTTCCTATACGTATCCTTTCTTTCATTATTTATAAGATATGCGGGAAAGAGTACTGTACATATGTGTAGACTTTTGTCTTGTATAATTTATTTCTATACTGTTACAGCGTATATATTTATAGTTTTAAAACTATAAATATATTTTTTACATTAAATTTTATTCTAAATCATTAAGAAAATCCGTTATTAAAAAATTCATTTGTGGAAAATGATGTAAATTATGTTTATTTATAACACCGACGTTCAAAAAATAAATAAATAAACGATTTACTTTTATGCAAACAAATTCACTAAGAAAATATATTATTTGTTTCTTATATTATTACCTTATCAATTACTTATTATAGGTTTGAATTAAAATATAGGCCTAATCCTACATGATTGTCAAAACTTGAATTTTTATTTAATACAGAAAAAAAGGGTGCTAAAGTACACACAAAACTGATGTTAGTATAGTTTAACAGATTAATATAATAGCTTAGAACGAGAAAAAAATAAAAATATTCTTGGTCCAACTTGTAAATAGAAATGAATTTACATCCAGAGCAATGAACTCGTAATCTCTTCTATTTGTATTTAAAATAAATACGATTTAGATCATAGCATAACAGTTTTTAAACTGTGAACGTAGTCTATAAGTAAAAATTACGATAAATAAATGTATGACGTAATAATATAATAAATTAAACTTCATAAACATCCAATAATATCCAAGAAATTCATTTCTTGCGCTTTAAATTTAATTCTAAACTCTCTGGAACGTCGGAATCGTCGACAGTTTTTGTTAAGCCATAACTGACAATTTCTACGCGTCACATTAGGTTGGCACACAATTACACAAAACACAGTTAATTAGAACCTCTATACAAAAATAGAAACGGACCAGTAGTTTGTGCAGCAAAAATAAATAAAAGAAAGCCATTTTGTTCAAGAACAGAATGGGAAGTAAGTGACAGCTGAACAGTGAAAAGACGAGTGATATACATTATCTTTTCCAAGTATAAATTATTATCGGCTACAAAAAGCAGAACAAAAATAAAGATGAAATAACGAGCTACGTCGTACAATAAATGAAATCGGTTCTGACATATGTCAGAACCGACCATTTGTTCTGTCATTCGATTTTATGTTATTGACATTGTTATCAACACATCTGTTACAAATTCTATATAAATGCTTACCAGCATTAAATCGGAAATCGTCGGAAATGACATCACTGACAGCAAACTGATCGTAAATATATCCCGTTGACAAGAATTTCATGAAACAAGTGAGGAAACAATACAAAATCATACAATGTTATTCGGAAACACGTACACAACCAATGAAACAACTCCGGATTGTTCGAAAATAAAAGCCTTATTGTACAACTTATACCGAAAAAACTCGACAGTTTGATTTTAAGAATTACATTAAAACTAATTGGTAAAAAACTACGAAAATTTATAATAAAATTTAAATTTAAAAATTTAATTATCTTTTCATTTTTACGTGATAATACAAGATTCATTCTATATATATGTAGAATAGAGATTAACATTTTAATATTGGCATTATTAAACATTTAGAGTATTTTAGAACGTTTTACTTCTTAAATATATAATTAAAATACTTTTTCCACTAGAATTTTAAGTTCAAAAGAAACTTTCTCCAATAACATTCACATGTATAACAGAATCAAACCTCTGAAGAACTGCTATTGACCGGAATATAAAAATGGCCATTGTTCAGGGGTGACCGTTATTTAGAGGTTATTTTCTATGCATTTCAAAAAGAAATGTTTCTGGAAAAAAAATGGCCGCCGTTTACTGGAGAATCGACTATATTAAAAGATTTTTCCAATAGAAACCATTTCTCTTGTTTTCCCTTTGTTAAAATACTCCTCTACTTTAGAAAGGGACTTAAAATCACTGTTACACAATAATGAATTATAGTCAGACTACAAAATAATAACTTAATGCTGATACTTAATGCCACCGAGGTTGCCAGGAATCAAGTTTGTTAGGAACTACAAACAAACTACTGTAAGTCATTACGTTCTTATATTATAAATACAAACGTAACTGCGAAAAAATTAAAGATGACAGGCCTACTTCAAATCAAAGTAAACTCAATTTTAATTTTATTTTATCAATTAATTTTATTTATTTGGAGCCTATAATCCCCCTTGGTGACTCTCTTGGCTATGCCAAAGTGTAATTATAATGTGTGTATACAAATGTACATAAAAAACTTTAATGAGATTTTATGAAAATTTTAACAAACATTTATTCTTCTCTAAAAAGTTTACAATTATAACCTTTAAGCTTGATTTTATGAGCATTTAACGTTGAATACAATGTATTAAATTTTTAAAGATTTATACAAATGTACCGCCATCTGTTATCTGATTCGGAAAGTTAATTAAATAGAAAACATTTTTGTTTTTTCTTCTTCTTCAGAGAACCTCTTAACGTTCTCGTTCCGTCACATTTATAGAAACAATAGTAGTAGTTTAATAAAATCTCTGTCAATTTACGTTTAGAACGGAATGAGGAGCGTTATCTATCTTTATCGAGACAAATTAAAGACACGAGACAACTCATTCAATTGTTCTCACTCGCCTCGTCTACACGTCTGTTGATAAAGCAAATTCCTTGTATACCGCATAATGCTTACGTGGCTGTTCTACTTTTTTTAACTATGTAAAAAATATTTAGAATATTTTAATAATAAGAATTTAATGAGCAAAAATATTTTCGATGTAACCAACAGATGGCGCCACGAATTTTTCCAGGTAAAACCATTTTTTTAATGTAAATTAACCTCCTCTTTGAATTAGAATAAGAATAAAAATTGTATGATCTACTTTGAAATAATTAAACAGATTTTGCAATGTGATTTTCCTCAGATCCGTAAATACTTATTCAGAAAGTTATGCAAGAAAAGGATCCATGAGAAAATCTTCAAGGATGATTTATCATTCATATAATAAAGTATATGTACAAGTCTTAATTAAAGTAAACTAATAATGCTTATATTTTAAACTTTAAGAAATAATTAAGCTCATTACTAGCAATAAAATATCTTATGGGATGATTACCCCTGTATATGATATAAAACTTAAATTTTTAGGCAATATACACACATATAAAATGAAATGATTATAAAAACTAAAAATAGTTGAAAATTCGGAAAGAAAACATTACATAACGAGAAATTTGCCTATTATAACATCGTTACAATATCGGGCTGCAATTTTTAATTATATTTTAATTTAAGAAATCACGTGATTCCCGATTCGGACCGGAAGTTCGTATATAGTTAATCGGGTCTCCAGCCCTTAAGTTTCCCATATCTGTTCTCGATTTTCATCTATCTAACTCGAATAAAATATAAAGTTAAATATTTTTCGGTATTGTTAACGTTTCTACCACTATAATTGGTTGGGTGGATTTGATACAAACACCTTGGTAGGTTAAAGAATACCAAGACAGGTTAATTATGTGAACAAGTTACAAAGGCAAGTCTTGAAGATTTTTAATTCGGGTAATGAAAAACAATATATCGCTTTAATAATTACCTAAATTACAACGTAGCGATGTAACAGTAATGAAAGATATTAGTATAGAAACATTGTTTTAAAGAAATAATGAATCTCCTATTACCAATAAAAAGAAATCTTAGAAGGGGCGAGCGCCTCCCTATCGCGTTACCTCTAGACCCACCCCTGACCACGCTTTTAACAAGTGAATTGTGTTAGTATACACATAGATAGACGAGGAAAACTGCTACTATAATTTAAAGACATGCTATGCATCCATTTTAAATTATAAAAAAATAATAATATAGAAGAGCTGATTAATTGTTTTTAACAATTACTACAAAATTACATGAAAGAAAATCCTCTCCTCTGCCATCTAGCGATAAATTTCTACACTCATTTAGTATTTTTCGAAGATAATTTTTGCAGAATTTGAGATAAAATGATAAGAAGTTTAGAAAAAAAAGCCAGACACAAAAATGTAGACCAACACGATTCCCAATGAACTTGCACACCGAGTCATATATTTGAAACACTGCCAAAAATGTCAGTAACATCCAGTTACACAAAAACCTCATAAATCACGAGAGTTTGTTATATAGTGAACGAAGACCCTAAGTTCTATTTTCCAGCGTGAATATGAATCTTCTCTTGATTTAAACAGCAAGACAAATCACGTAGCAGCTCACAAACCATCTGTCGAAGAATGTCACACAATCTGCAAGGGTCATCGCGAGGTTGAGAATATATATATATATACATAGATGAAATTGTAGAGTCTAAACCGATAATGTGTAAATTAGAGTGTATCGTCGTCTTCCCCATTCAAGGACTTGTGTAACAATAAACACAACAATGCTCAAGGTTGTTACTTTTAAGATAGTCAACACAGATCTGGCTTTATTCCATAATGCAGTTCTTTTTCATAGTAGTTTCGGATTTTAATGGTACTAAACAGGTATTTTAGAGTACTTTAAAGGCTCTTTAATTACGTAAACATTCACATTCTTTGCCAAAAAGGAATTTCTGTTACAGCATAGACTGATATTAGTTGGGAATTTGTTTTGACACTGTAGACAATTAAAAGGTAGTAATATGTATTTTAAAGGAAACTCCCTAACCCCTATGGTAATTTAGGTGACCTAGTTCTCATAGTGGAAACATTAGCAGAAAGGATTGACAAGTAAGGTTTCAGGTCATCGGTAGGTACAATTGTTTTATCTTTTCTTTTGTCAGAAAAAGTGAAAATTCTCTAACCCCTCTGCGAGTTAATGCCAACCTTATCAGCTGTAAGACATAAGAAAACCTTTAAGAATATCTTGTCCTATTTAAAAATAGAAAATAATTTAACTAAAATCGTTCACTAAAGACACAACATGAGGCCATTTTTTCTCCGAATCCAAATTTGGAACCAATGTCAAGGAAAGGACGAATGGACGATCGGCATAGTGTCAAGAAGATAATTAGTAATGTAACTAATAATGATGTAATTTTAATATTTTATTTATTCTTTGAGACTAAACACATTTCTGAAAATTGTATCGTCTGGAGTAAATGTACATTTTAATTGCTAAAATGTAGATTTAGTCGAGGAAACGGAACTAGCAGCAGAATTGGAAGACGTTCCAATGACAAGATTGAAATTAAAGGGCTTTACTTATGATTTAAAACTAATATAATCGGATGTAAAAAGTTGTAAAGACATCAGGTCTTTGGCGTTTTGTGACACAACAGTGTAAACAATGATGTCATTCGTTTTATAAATAGTTCTATAAATATTTGCCAAATTTTTTCAGTGTAGATCAGTCAAGGCCATTGGCTGTTTCTCTGCCTATCAATACTTTGCTTTTATTTGACAACCCGCCAGTTTTAAAGCTAGGCCTACTGTATGTCATTATACAAAATTTTAATTATCTCATTTAAAAACGTCACTTCTCGTACTTTTCTCTGCCATATTTAAGAGTGAAGACCCTTAAAACTCTTCAATATTGTGTTAGGACCATAGACATTTTGATGGTTTAACCTCTTAAATGACAAGAGAATTCAGTTAATTACACAGAGAAGAGCAAGTTGACGTTCTATTTTTAACTCATTATTTCGTTTAAGTTGACGGTAAGTAAATTATTATACAAAATTTTAAAATAATATTTTTTTTATAATAATAATATAATTATCATTACGCACCTTATTCACTGAAACACTTCAAAAAATTTTAATTCTTTAATAAATCAGGTTTTGTTATAAAATAGTATTTTTCCCTGCTTTTCCCTACTAAACAAGAAAAATCCCTAAACGGAGAAAATTCAGTTTAGGGATTTTTCTTGTTATTCTTTAAATTATTCTTTAAAATTACAGTAGACATGCGATTTTTTAAAACACATGTGGAAGTGGATAAGGAACTGGGAGGACTCTCGATATTAAAGAAAATCATTTAAAGAGAAGCCACGTCTGAAAAAAACCGATAAAAAAAGCTTTCAGTAACTTATATACCGAGAACGAAACGATAAAAGTGAAAAAAATAAAAAAAAGGAGAGATATCTGTAGACATGCAACAGGAAGACGTTCGAGTAGATAACATGACTAAGCGTCGAACATCGACATTCTTAAAGTAGGGTCATAATTTAAAATGTGTTCACATTGTAAAAATTCTAAGAAATTGGCAAAACAATAAAATTTACGATAACTTAAAGAAAGGGGGGAATTAAATGTAAAAGAGTTCTATACAGAATCGTATTTTTAGTTATTTTTAACGAGAAAGAAGTGTTCTAAAGGCGTCTCTTTTCGTTGTTTGTTTTATGCAATCGATCTTCTAAAAACTCCATAGAAAACTTAAATAGGAATCAAATTATAATTACTATTTTTAGTTGAATATATTAAAAATTATCCATTGAATTTTTAATACTTTCAGATTTTTAACCAAACACTTGTGAAGTTGAATAACACCTTCTGTTTAAACTTATGTAAATTTGATCGGGATTATTATTACATCATTTCATGAAAACGCAAATGTATAAGTTTGTATACGTAAAAAACCATTTTTTTTTTACGATTTAAACTTATAAAAAAATTATCCAAATTAAAAATGATAATGCTAACCCCTTTAAAGTACTAAAAATATAGAAAATTGATATAAATTTATTGTTAGAAAACTGCGTTTTTGCGTGTTATTATATAGTAGTAATAATGCTTACCCTTCCAATGGTTAAAGGAAATCCAACTTGAATTCCGACTTCTAATCTGAAGCCCCAAGGAATAGATTTATCACTCCTTTGAAGCAAAATATTTATTAATTTCTCCATTTTGAATGTTGGGACATGGCACACGACTGTCACTAATTTTGTTTAGTTACAACTGAAGGGAAAACTCGTACTAAAGGGGAAGCGTGTACGCAGTCGCTGTATTTTAAATTTCGGCCACTAGGGTACTTTGTCGTGAACCGGAAATACTTCGCTCGTGCCGGAAGCGTGAAGTGTCATCGAAATCGTGTCAAAATGTTCGTCCAACCGAACTTTTATGCTATGATTAAATATTATATTTTTGCGTTTTAAACTTTTATATGCTATTTTAATAAAATGTTATTTACCGCATCTCTTGGATCGTTAGCGTGTCTATCCGTTTTTATAATGCTCGAATTCTTTAATATTAACAAACTGTAACTAATTTTATAAACTAGAAGTTTTAAAATAAATTTTATGTAATTATGTAGAATATTAATTTAATAATTCGATCACATTTCTAAGACTTTTTTTTTTAAATTAAGTTACGTAAACCAAGCTGTATTTTACATGCTAGAATAATTTTTAAATTATTAATAAAGAAGAAAAATGTTTATATTTATAAAAATTTCCAAAACTAATGAATGTGATCACTTTCTAAATAAAGACTAACGTAATCCCACTTCCTGTTTATTAGCCTATGGTCATAGTCTAAAGGGAATTTTAAAAAATTTGTTTCTCTTCATTGCTAAAATATCCCTTAAAATTTCCTTGTTATAAGTTAGAAATTCATTTTTAAATTGATTTCTGCTTTACATTCTTGCATTAGAAATGAAATAATTTGTTATTCGGTATTAATATTAAGAGTAGAGAAATGAATTATGATCGTCGTCGAATTTACTCCTTTACCTCCGAAAAAAAATCCTTAAAATTCCCTATTCAAGTATACATTAAGTAATCGAAATTACTACTTAATATTTTTCTGTATAAATTTATTTTTGCTAATATTTAAACTGAATACTGCAATTTAATAATAATAAAAAATTCTTTATTAAAATCTACACGAATATAGCAATAATATTCAAATTTCTTCATTTTAATTTTTCCTCCATTTAAAAAAAAACATTCCTCAAACACATTAATAAATATCATTTAAGGATTCTTTCAATTTAATATTTATTTATACATTATAATTTAAAATATTTTCTTTTCACCTATTATAAAATAATTTATAAGGCATTTAAAAATCCCCAAAATATCCCTATCAAACGGTAGAAATTTCTGTAACCATCTGGCGCCATCTGTTTTCGTTTTTAATAAGTTATTTTGACAATTTTAAAATATTTTTCTTCTGCAAACCATAAATAATCAAAAATTTATTTTTAGTATATTCTTAGAAGGAATTCCATCCTGTATCTGCTCGGTACAAATTATCACTTCCGGTCATTTAATAAAATAATTTTCCTCTTAAAGAATATTGCTTTGATGAAGTACGACAAACGAAAATATTAAAAAGTGTGTAAGTAAACTATACACGAAACAGTAAACCTTCCGGTGAACTTATAAAATATAAATAAACAATATGTAAGTCAATAAGAGCTGACGAAGTGTACTGATAAGGAAATATTCCTGCGTGAAAGGATTTTTGTTTAAGTTATAGCAATTAAAACCACTAAAATTATTATTTCTACAAACAACTAATGTTATTTTAATAATATTTAAACAAACAGGAATTTTTTTTAGTAACGAATAAGGAAAAATTGGCGTAATAATCGCTTTGAATTTTAACCAATCACAAAACAGTTTACATCATTTTTAAATGAATTGCTACTATAGAATGATACAAACGTTCCTTCGATTGGTCAGTCACGTGTTCATTAAATTGCTTTGTAAATGAGATTCGGTAGGTTCTTGTTTAATTAATTAATTAATTAATCATTTATTAGATAATTGTTTTACGGTCGAATATTCTTTTTACATTATTTATTTAAAAGAAGCAATTACGAAATTTTTGTCGACTCAGGTAAGAGTGACGTATCAGGTAAGAGAGACACGTCACTGAGTCACTCTTACCTGAAAATATTGACGTCACAACTTCAAGTTAACTGTTTCTGTTACTGTTGCAATTACTAAATATTTAATTAATTATTCAATAATTTAAATTAAATAAATAAATAATTAAGAATTTAGTATTTGAATATGTATATTATACGTAAATAATTCATATGCCCTCTAAAATCGAAAATTTTAACTAAAATTTCATAGTTCAAAAATAATCTAGCAACGAGTTGCGTAACTTTCCCGGCTTTTATGAGATTTTATTTTAAAAATAGCACATTTGTATTACTAATCAAAATAAATAACTAAATTTTATGTGGCGCCATCTATTATGAGATTTTGTTATAAAAAGTTTATATATTTTTAATTATTATAAAATAGCAAAAGACTTAATTTTGAGAGTAGAGTTGAGTTTTATAAAACACTATAAATGCTAAAAACAAATAAAATCTTCATTACGTCCGACCCTCACGAGATATGTCACGTGACCATGACCACCCTCTATCTCTCCATCCACTTGACCTTTCACAACCAAAACTTAATAGCATCAATGCTTCTTATATACAAGTTACCCTGCCAAATTTCGTTCATTTATCTTCATCCAGTCCTGAGATATTAAGCGAAATAGACGCCAACACACACACACATCCACGAAATTTTATTGCCTTATTTGGATTAAGGAGGTCTGAAGACGTGGAGATTTGAGGATCAAATTTGACACAATTCCTATATTTTCCTTTGTTATGTATACATGAAAGTTATGACCATAAAAATATGTAACTAATACTTTTAACTTCCATTATGAATGGCTAAACAATATTTCAGTTTTCTACAGACTCACTCTTCGTTTATATTAAAATAAAATAAAATAAATAAATAATAGAATCTAGTATATTTTCTTAACAAAAGTATTAACAATAAATTATTTTTCTTATTTATATATAAAAATATCTGCAAAATGTCTATATTCTAAGTGAGCTTATTTTGAGAATAAACACAGTCACAATCAATACTTAAATTTCAACAAGTTTGTTATGATTTATATTCATCGGAACGAATTTAGATGTAGATAAAAAATGGAATTTATCAAATAAATCCTTTTATAAATTATAACTTATACGTGAGAGAGTTCATAAATTATAAACTTCTCAGTACAAAAGCTATATTTCTATGCTTTAATTTACTTTTTAAACTATAAATTCTACGTAAGATTTCATTATAAATATATAATTCTTGATTTAAATATTCATACTTATTCTTTTCATGTATAAAGAGTTTTTGAAACAATTAATATTTTAAATTAAACAGCTTATTGTAAATCAACTTAAATCAATTTACCTTCATGTTATTTATACAAATCAAATAATTTTTCTCCTTATCTCAGTGTATTATATATTCATATACATGCATGATCGTTGAGAGGAGGGAAACTGGGAATTTTTATGGGAATGGCCCCTTAATTTTCCGGAGAAAATTAAACGGGCCATAGTAGTTCCTATTCCTTAAAATTAATGCTATATTTACTAACAGAAAATAAAATCTTTAAGACAACTTTTTATTTCATCTGCTGAAAAAACAAAGCTGAAGGGGCGCGACAAGGGGCAAAAGAAGTCTGATCTACTCCAGGCCCCATATAACCTCTCGATGGGCCTGTATACAAGTGTATATTCATTAAGAAGATTAATTTTTAAAAGTAAACTCCATAATATGGAGTTTACTTAGCCCATATACTTAGCCCATATACTTTAGCCCATATACTTCAGCATAAGACGATTTATCAATCATATTATGATTGATAAATTATGATTGATTTATCAATCATATTATGATTGATAAATCGTCTTATGCTGAAGTATATGGGCTAGGCAAAACCGTTATCAGTTTTTCTGTGTATCTCAATTTTCGTTAGATTCTTTCTTATCTATAAAAGGAAATGAAATACCTAAAAATTACTTTAAAAAATGAGTCAAAGTATATGATTAAACAAGAAAGTAAAGCGTATTATGAAATATAATAATTGGTATCTGATAAAAGACTTTTATCAATGAAATGAGTAAAATCCTGAACAGTTCTGGAGAATTTTAGAATATAGTGACTCATAAGCTTTATTTTAAATCTATTGATTAAAAAAATAAGGTCAAACAATGTCTTATTTAATAAGAAAATATTTATATTATTATGTATTTATGATATAGAATATTTAGAGTTAAAATAATATCTTAATTAATTATATATGTAATCATAAGTGTCAAGAATATTGTAGATGATATCTTTAATTTCTATAAATTAAATTCTTCTGTCTACTTTCATACAAATAATTTATTATTATAAGAAAAAAAAAGCTGTACTCAGATTAATCATGATGAAAATGATATGCATATGTTCCAAAATACATATAATTCATATTAAAATCTGCAGTATATAACATTATTCAGCTCATTAATAAATTGATATATTACACACTCCAGTTCAACATTTTACTTAATAATCAGAGTAAATCGAGTAAGATAACTTAAAAAAGTGAAATTAGTTTTTCTTCCATCTTAAATTTTGGTTTTAAAAGCTCCAGTTACGACATGTGATACTTTTAAATAACCTTTAACCTCTGTAATAATTGAGGATATCAATCTAAAAAAAATTATACTTGTTAAAACATCGTCGTTTATGAAGTCGTAAACATTATATAAACATTTCATTAATAATAATTCTTGGGAAATTTGTACATTTGTTTAATATATAAATTATTATAGCTTTAAAAAGTAATTTAATTATTTGGCTGAAGTTAAGACATTTACATCATTTAAACGTCGAAAACTCCTTTTAGAAGAATAATTATGTATTTTTAAATATTTAATTATGTGTTTGTTTTTTATTATATCAAATATTCAAAAACTTCTGAGTTATTCTAAATATAAAAATTGTCATTGTCGTTATGATGTGCTGGAATGTACAGTACTAGTTACAAATATGTAATTTATGCTGTATATAAACTTCTAAAATAACTATCAGTTAAATCCTATATTTGAAATTATTATACGTTGAAATAAGTAAATAACATTTTAAGCATGTTGTTTTGTTATTATTACTATTTTAAA